ACTCTTCAGGATCCATCACAGAGTCTGTCTACTTATAGTCGTAAAACCTTACTAAAACAAACAAACTCTACGTTCTCGATAGGAAAAGTTCTGCAGAGTACTCTAGTGGGTGTTACAGTCTGGTTTGGAATGGTGAAATGGTATGGGTTTAAAGTCCCTATCAACACTATTAGGTAATTTAAGGACAGGACCTCCTAGTTTTAAGTCCGTCTCCGATACGACCGAGCCAACTGGGAAACAGTCCGGTTTGTTCTTTCCTATAGAGCACCCGTCGACCATGTCTTTCCTTCTTCTTTTCTTTGTATGTTACTAGCCAGCAATACTTCAAATGTCGGTACATATATGATCTATTTGTATTGTAAGTGCTGTAAAACTCTTCTCTTCTCCAAACAAAACAAAATAAAGATGTTCTGCCCTTGTTTGTGTGACACAACACTCAAAAGACAGCATTAATTTACTGGCACAAGGTAAACCGTTTTCTACCGGAACGCGCTGAGAAAGCTGCCTGTGAATAACAAGGCTTGTGCTTGTAGCAATGAAATTGTGTCCCGACGAGGTAGAATCAGGCGCTCGTCAGTTTTGGGGTGGGTAGAGTTATTCTTATCATCTTAAAGCCCGCTCATTTGCCTTACTTTTGATGAAAAAATATCCATTTATCTCAGATACAAGTCAAGATATTGGCGATTGAAGAAGGTAGGGGTCGCCTCGTTTAGCAAGTAAGATATTAAGCGAGAAAATGACCGCCAATGTTGAGTTATTTACTTAGCTAGAGAGTCCGTGGAAACTGAAACAATCAACGTTTTGCAGAAAAATCTACAAAGAAAAAAATGTATTCTTTAAAGAGAAGGTAAGGTGATAAGCAAAAAAAAAAAAAGCAAAAAAAAAAAGCAAACAAACCCAATAAAAATTCCCAAACCTGCAGAAAAATGCCAGTTTCTTTACTTCCATTATATTGACGAGCGCTTGATTTCACCACACTGCCTCACAATTGTTCGCGTTCTGCTCGACAGCTCACCCTGTCTGTCTCTCCCTGTCTCGTTGATGTCTGTGAGTCAGGAGGTGACCGCCTCACCGGACATGATGAATTAGGTCATTCCGAGAGCGGGCCGCATGCCTGGACATTCTTCTCCTCCCCACCACACCCAGCTCTTTCCATCTATCTGCCTCTCACTCTCTCTTTCCCTTCTTTCTCTTTCTTTCTCTCTCCCCCTCTTGCTTTTTCTCCCCGCCCCTCCCCCCTCTGTCTCTGTCTCTGTCTCTGTCTGTCTCTCTC